TTTCTCTCTGAGTAGTCTCATAATGTTCAGGGAAAAATACCAAGAATAATAAATCCAAATCCCTGTATAAAATATACCTTCATGACACACTCAAGCTGGAAATCACAGGAACCAATAAAAATGCAGGCAGCCTACTGATAATGAGGTCAGAAATACAAATAAATTTACTTTTAATGAAGACTGGAGGCACAGTAATCAAAGTGTTAAAATTCATTTCATGCATATCTCATTTGCTTCTTAGCTGATATTTACCACACAATTCTGTGAGAAAGTAGAGGCCTAAGATGCTCCAGATAAATGGCTCAATTAATTGTACAGAGGTAGACCTCTTTGAGCTGAGCCAGAGCTGTGAGCTCTTTATTAAAAGCACTATTCTGTAGCCCATAACCTTGTTCCTTGACTCCTCTCTGGTTTCCAATTTAAACAAGTCCCCATGCGGCCTGCTCTAAAGGGCTTTGTCTCCCTGTCATTGTTAAGAGAGCTGAGGCATCCTGGAAGTGTGAAATCAGACCTCATGAGTTGAACGGTTCCCCAGGGAACGCTGGACTGCTCAGAAGGTCAAAGTCATGGGCCGGACCATCTAGAAGTGTCTGATCACCGGTCTGTGACACAGCAAGTTGGGGGGTGGGGGGGTGGTGGTTGTGTGGACTGAAGAGGACTGAAATTGAACACATCTTAATTAAAGCCCACAGACAGCAAAACAAAATGTTTTCTAGGCAGCCTGTTAAATGGGGCTTAAATTTAGCTCTGCTAATGAATCTGAGCTGCTAACTGTTATTTCTTAAGATAATAAGACTCTCACGGAAGCTGATAAAAAAACTGTCGCATGTCTTTTTCTGCTGTTTTGTTACTTAAATATTTTCTAACAATGAAGACAGTTTTTCTAAAGAAAAACATGGGAAAAGTCTATGCAAATAAAGCGGTAGTAAACATCTCTCTTAATAACTAGCAGGTTTCCAGACTGTGGGGCTGGTGAGTTGCAAGCCTATACACAGAGCCTCGTTTTAGAAAAAGATAACGCTCATTTAATGGGACTATGTCAGTGACAGATTCTGTTAATTGTAAAATTCTCTCTCTCTTTCATTTTCTGAAAGAGGCGGTGCATTAATTTGAGAGATCAATTCACCTGGGGTGGAAAAGTTTTATATGAGTGTACCTTTTAATGCAGTGAAAAGGTAGGGCATCCTTTGAAAGGGTTTCACAGTTCTCCCATATCGCTGTTTCTGAAACTGAGTGGCTGGTCTCCCTGGGGAGGCTATGACCTCTTTCTTGGGAGCTCAAAAAAACAACCCAGGGGAAAATGAAGGGGAGGGGCTGAGGAGAAGAACCCTTTTCTCTTTCTTCTCTTAGTACTTGAAAGAACCAATAGATCAAGTCTAAATACTCTGGAAAGAAAGCCTCACTCAATATAGAAGACTTTAAATGTTCTGTTGAAAGCATAAATTAGGCCCTGTCCAAGGAAAAGGATAATTAGAAGCTAGAAAAGACAATATCCAACATGAATTGTTTCCCACCACCAAAAAAATCCCCCCTGCCCCTTTGGTCATTCTGTCCTCACAATCTGTCCAGCTCAAGAAACACTTGATTTAATGGTAGAGAGAATCTTCTCCAGTGAACACAGGACCAGCCAGTCTTTAGGTTTTGCTTTGACGGTGCACAGAAACGTTAACCTTTTCCCTGGTTAGTTGAAAGGTAAGTAAGTTATACCGAGTGGTATTTCTCCATTGCTCAAGCTTTTTCTCTCATGAAAAATTTTGCTGACCAACTTTTAAAACCAGAGTGCCACTTTCTCAGGCTGTGAAAGGCTGCCCACAATTTGACTGAAATTTCAATCCACTCTTGTAGCTCGCTCAATGCGTGTGTATGTGTGGGAGTTGTAAATTGAGGCCTTAACCACCAGAGTTAATCTCTTTTTTAAGTCTGTATTAACCTTAATGATTTGAAGTGCACTGTCCAACACTGGTCTATTGAGACTGAAGAAAAAACTACCCTCGACTATCAACAGTTTATTAGGGGCTTAACTGAAGTGACCTACTGTAGTAGTATTCAGCTGAACAAGGCTATAGGCTTTTTGTGGAAAGAGAAAGAATTGAGGGTTTCATTAAAAAGTAATTTGTACTTTATACTCACTCATTCAAAGAGTCTCAATTGCTCTTTATTCACACAGAGTTAATACAGTATCACAATGTTTCTCAATGAATGTGTCGTAACAAAAGAAAAATTTTAGATTTTGAAAGGGAAAAATTCTTTATAACTACAGTAAGATTGATGGCTACTTAAAATGTCATAGAATCTTCCTCTCCTGTGCTGATGTTAAATGATGGAATATTATAATTTTAAAATTTTAGCTCAAATGATGAAAGTTTAACTTATTACTTTATGTTCAGACCATTAAAAATATTTTAAAAAATAGAGCACAGTTGGCCGAATGTAAGTTTGGCTTCTTAAACTTATCTAGAAAAAGTTTTCTGAAGTCAACCAAATATTTAATAGTAATAACCTCCTTTGTACTAGGTCAGAAAATATTCCTGGGTTTGCACAGAGAGTTATCAGTGATCAAAAATCTCCCTCTCCACTCACAACATTCCTAAATGTATGCTAATTTGAGGATTTGAAGACAGCACACTGTTCACTTAATTCCCTTTTTTTTCAAACTGTTGCTTAATATCTTGTAGAGCTGAACTATTATTCACTGATAAATCACATTTTTAAAGTTTTTTGTAAAAAGTAAGAGATAAGTATACGGAGAGCTTATTTGTGCCCCAGATCTAATGACAAAGACCAGAAAGAATCAGGATATATATGCATTTATCCTTTGCAGAAGTAAATATTATTTATAAAATTGGTAGTATATTCAGCCATTTCTGAGTTAAAGATATGGCCCTCAATTTTTGCCACCATAACAAATGTCATAGAGACCACAAAAGGTCCAAGAGTGAGCAAGGTCAAAGACTGAATTATCCTCTTGTCCCTGAATAGTTCAACATCTCTCTTGTTCAATTCTGAGCACATTAGATTATAAGGTCAGCTCAGAATGAGGAATCATTAGATTTATATCCCTAAAACTCCAGGAAAAAAATGGAGACTTCGTTATTTAGTATTCCCCAAATTAATGTTCATTTGATCAAATCAAAACTATGTCTCCTTGAAGCTCTAGGGAAAAGGCTATTGTTATTCACATTAATTTACACAGAAGCATTAGGAAAAAAAATCTCTATTTTTTCCAGCTTTGAAGGAACATGTACTTTAACTTCCACAGTGGCACATAGGCCAACTGGGTTAACGTAGTTTGCATATTCATGAAGTTTTAAAAGCAATGACAGCTTCTCTCCAAGAGAAGACAAACTTAGATAAACGCATTCAACTTGTGTAATGGACAGTATCTAAGCTTTTGAAGTAAATGGTATTTGTATTTTTTACTAAGAATTTATCATGCCCAGGTTAATTCCATTATAGCCATACCAGAAATAATTTTTTTTTAAAAAAAGAAGAAAATGAATAAATCTAAAATTGACTATTTAATACAAGGAGTCAAGTCAGCATTTATGCAAAAAGATTATAAACTATCCTCTCTCTCTCCCATTAATTTCAGGTATGCCTATTTTGAAAGAATATGTGACAGTTTTTACTATCTTCTTGGTTACAAATGAGTTGATAATTATCTCTTTAAATAAACTGTATACTCTCAACATTTTTATTTTTATCACACAATTAATAGTCATGATAATATGCAAATATTAAAATTAAAGAATACTGTCATTTTGGAACAGACATCTGTTATTTTAATTTTAAGGCATGTTACCCTTTAGTTTGGTATTGATTCTGTTTAGTGAATTAAAGAAGCAATTATGTAACGAATTTGCAGACCCTCAGATGGGAGGAAAAGTGCACTTCTCCCCTTCAAATAAGTCAGTTACCTCTTTAGGGTCATTCTGCTGAACATTAGAAAGAGTAAGCATATTTCCACAAATAATAAGTGGATAATTTCTTTTAGGTACACAGAAATTATACAAAAATTAGTGAAGTCAGACATATTTACTATCCATCTTGAGATGGATGATTTAAGGAATGGTATAAACAGTGGCTGCAACAATGGGCTCAAACATAACAATGATTGTGAGGATGGCGCAGGACTGGGCAATGTTTCATTCTGTTGTACATGGAGTTGCTATGAGTTGGAACCAACTTGACAGCACCTAACAACAACCATAAACTTCCCTATATCTTTATGAAATTAAACAATAAATGAATGGTCACATAGCTGTAAACTGAAAAAATGATTTAAATCTGGACATTGATGAAGTAATAACCATCAGGCCATTTGTTAACATGTCATAGCAACAGCAATACCCAAATCAGGAAGCTTTAAATTTAATATTCAAAGAGGCAAGACTAATTTTGGGATCTTTGGAGGCCTGCTTCTCGGTTAAAAAACTTAGAACAATTTAGATGTTAAGTTCCAGAATTATCTCTGGGTAGCACTAAGGAATTTGGACAGCTAAAGAATTGGATCAGCAACCCAAATACCAAGAGTTCATACCAAGTTACTGAGTATGACACATCTAAGCTTTTCGGTGAACTATGCACACAAATTTCATGCATGTCTGAGTTACAAGTGTTGTGACGCTATGATATCATCTGAGGGAAGGTGATACTGTCTCAGAGAAGGTGATATCATAGCATTACTCTAAAATGCAGAAATGACAGAAACTGAAACAAAATCCTGCTACGTTGATTAAACCCTGGAAAAGGCCATAATAAAAAGTTATTTTGCATTTCATTGTTTATTTTTAATGTATTACCTGCCTTATAAAAACAGCGACAGTATAAAAATTGGAGGGTTAGCAAATCTTTGTAAGATCAACTCTGATGCTTCATATTAAACCTATTGTCTTTGATGATCCAATAGGGTAAAATACAAAGTCAAATTATTAAAGTAAAGGTGTGGAACTTGCAATGCTGATTGATATATGATAGAGGAGAATTGCATCATTTCTTACCTGTGACATCAGCAGCCATCAACCCTTCTGCTCTGATTACTTTCACCTGGAGAAATCCCACATCTTTCAGGTTGTGAAATATCCGCAACGGGCTCTGAAAGACCCCAACATCAGTATTAGAAACGAGAGGTCCTAAAAGGTCCTAAAGAGTGTGCTGAGAAAACACTAAGCTTTATGGTGTATCTCAGGATGCTGCTTAAGTAGTTCAAAGGGTCATTTGTGTTTCTTCGATATAAATTATTCTTCCACCATCACACACACACACACACACACACACACACACACACAGAAACACAAACATATTTATGTAGATACTTGTTGCTATGTAAGTAGATTTTTTTGAAAGAAGAAAAAAATACCATGACATTTCCTTCCCCTAAAAAGTTATCAATAGATGGTGAATATAAATTACAGAACAGGATATGTTTGCTTTCTTCCTTCAACCTCGCCACCAAAGCACCCCAAGCAATTTTTCATCTGTGGGTATGGATGGTTTGGAGACTAATGATTCAGTATTGAGTCTTAAGTTTTTGGATGTATAAAACTCTTTAGACTTTGGAGATAAGAAAGTCAACATTAAATTAATTTTTTTTCTAGTATTTTCTTCTTATTGAGTTTTGGAAATTGCTTGTGTTAGATGAGAGTTAAATTATCTAAAGACTGTCTTCTAATATTCAATTCAAAAGACTTACGTAGTTGTATAAATTTTTTCAGTAAGGCATATATTTTATTAAAATAAATTGGTGACTAAAAATAACTTCAAAAGTGACGAGTGTTTTTTCTCAAACTTATAATTCCATTCTATACATTCCAAAATGTACAGAAATGGAAGTATAGAAACTTTGATAGAAGAACAAGATCCAAATTATAAAATCTACTTCACTTCATAAGTTAATAATGGTAGGGTTTTAATATGTGTAGTTCTTGAAGAAATTAAAAGAGGGACACCAATACAATAATTTCGAAGTCTAATTAAAGGGCACAAATATTTAGACAGCAAAATGAACCTATAGAATACCAATATGCATTTGTTTATTTACATTTCATAGCAGTTTTCTTACGAAGAGATCAGCATTTCTACTCAGTTAATCCAAGGTACTTCTTTATCATAATCTTTAAAATGCTTCATGACCAGGGAGCACAATATAATGAAGTTATCTATCAAAATGTTATTAAAGAGTATTCCTATCATCTTATTAATAATGTGAGAATACTGACAAGTAAAACACACTGCGATATGAACTTTATCAGTCCCGTACGACTAGTCATTGTTTACCCTGAAGTTATGACCTTGGTACACTGAGAGGAGGAAATGAAATGCAGATATATGTGTAACCTCATAGCCTAACTTTTTAAAAAAGAGTGTTTATCACAAGGATTAACGCTTAATCTTTTATTGTTTCTAAACAGTCATTTATCATCCAAAATCTGTTTAAACTACCCAGATGACAGGGTTCAGTGAGAACGCATTTCTCTCTCCATTTAAATTCCTGTAAATTAAGGGTTTCACAGTGGGAGCTTTAGATAGCAGTATTATAAGTCAGAGGTTTGCAGGCATGCTGCCTTCTTAATGCAGTAAGGATCAAGTTTGGGAAGCTTCGTCTTATCTCAGAGCTTACCCAATATTCTAAACCAGATAAGTCTCCTATCCTAATGGTGGGAAATTGTTTTATCAAAAGGTGTCTGTACTTTAATTTTAAGGAGCAATTTAAACCAAGTTTCATTGTTACTAACACAAATATCATCAGTCCTGATGTCTGAGAATCATTTCATACTGATAACCTCATTCCACAGACATATTGTCTTCTGGTGCTACAGCTCTGATGCTCTGCTTCCCATTTGGAGGGGGTAATTATTGTTTGAAGGTTTCATTTCCTCAAGTCAGCCAACACTCAGTCATTTATTGCAAATTTCAACTGTTCACTCCAATAACACAGATTACAATACAAACTAGAAAAAAAGGCAAATAACTTAAATATATTAGTTTAAAAATATAACTTTAAGTAATGCTTCATCAGGAGGTATTCCTGCCTTGTTATTTATGGTTATTTTCGAAGGCCTCAAAACCTGGACAGCTTCTGAAGCCAGAAATTTCCATAGCAGAGGAATCTATGATTTGCTGTGAATCCTTTCAGTCCTCAATAGATGGGAAAAGATTGAAATGCTCTGGAGAGGAGTCCTCTTTATTTTTTTAATGAAAGACTGTATAATATATTTTCTCTATGGCTGCAGCAGCTGTCAGGGAGAGCATCTCAGTTCAGCTCTATTATGGGAGAGGCAAAACCCCATCCTATGGCATCGAGATGCTCTGAGGGGCCAGAGCTGATTGACAGCTTGTCACCGTGACGTCTTATTCCATCTCTGTTATGGAGAAAATTAATGTCACACCACCAGCCTTATGACTCGCTGTCATCTTAGAACCGCTCACCTTTTATCAATGCTCTAAATAACATTTCAAGCCCATCGTCTCACAGTGGACAATCCGGTCAAGGGACATTAAATCGGATGACTGTGAAATGTCATAATAAAAATGGAATGCTAACAACTTCTTCTCTAAACTACCTTCTCTGGTTTTTAAACTGTGACAAGGGGGAGCAAGGGTTCAGCATACCCGTTCCGAAAAGGTCACACAATCGCTCTTGGTCTACTACCCATTACTAACCGCCCCCTTTTGACCTTCCCTCCTTCCCTCCCCCACAAAAGAAGAAAAAAAGAAAAATGGAATTAGCCATCTTTTCAGAATGTGGTGATCAAATAATGGCTCACACAGTAGTGTCTGTTTAATTTGTGGGGCTCCGATGCCCAGCAATGAACAGCTAAATGACAGCAATGGAGAGCTTTTTCAGGGCTGTTTCATACAAGAGTGAGGGCAATTCATTTATTTCCCTGACCACAATTCTTAAGTTTAACCTAAACTTTTTAATACACATGTTCTCACAGGAAAACGTATAAATAATTCTCCAAACTAATCAAATAACCTGCATCCTATGTTTCTCTAAAACAAGCGGTATTTCAGATACAATACCTCATTCATTCAATAATCTGAATTATTCAAAAAGAATACATCAAAGCCCTAAGATATAGGTCTTTGTCCTTGTATTGCTATGAGTAATTATAACACATATGCTGTATTGTATGTTGTAGCTTCTTAGCAAGTATGTCTATGGAGGGAGATGCAGGCCTACGTCTGAAATTCACACTTAAGTTTCTTCATATATTTATATATATTTCATTTCTAATATATTGAGAGTATAATCAGATAACTGGCTGAGACATTCACATATGTTTCGTATTTTATTGAAATAATACCTAACATTTGAAAGAAGATATAGAAACAAATATTCAAATTCTGAATGGAAATGATTTAAAGAAGTTCATCCAGCAAAAAAAAGATTCAGAATCAGATTACTTCTAACTAATCGTCTCAGCAGTATCATTCTAATATATGAGAGAGTATCAAAATATTAACCTATCAAATATAGTATTAGAATATCTAGCAGAATTTTTATACTAATACACCAATTAATTCCTTTAAACTTGTTTCAATTCACGAAGATCACTTCTGGTAACAAGAGGATATGTTTTGGTGGGTACCAAAATGTGAAAGAATTTTCATAATAGCAATTATATATTATAAGATGTCACACAATACCTTAGGCTCTTAGTTGGCTTAAAAATATATACTATTTAGCCTTGCTAAGTCACCTCTATTAAACTGTTTATGATAACACCATTGGTGGATGAGTTGTACAAGCATTAGCAGACAGCTGATTCCGTGGAGATAGCCAGAATAAATTTGCTGAAGTGCACATCCTGCTAATCTGTTTGAAGAATATTGTGCAGCATTAGTACCAGCACTTCATGTTATCTGCACAGCCTGATAAGGTACATCTTTATTAAATTCAGTTATTGAAAGGATGTCAGTCAGCAAATAGGAATATTTTAAAATCTAAAAAAAAAGAAAAAAAAATTTAAGCGGTTCTTTGTTAGTCAGAGCTTGGTTTCACGGCTGGCTCAGTGTCTAGAGGAGCCTTCTAAACACCTGGCAGCCTTGTACAATATAAGCTTTGTAATTTTAAGTGGAAAAGCTTTTTCTCCAGCTTCATGAGTACTGAGACATTTACTTTTTCGAGGCGCTATTGACAGAGAACGGTGGAGTAAGAGCTCCCCTCCCTGTTGATTCAAGAAAACTACATGGTGGGAAATGCATTCTGCAAGGATGCTGGGAAATAGGTGATATGGTTGTGAATATTTTGGTTTGGTAAAATCTGAGGAGGGTAGTTGTTTTAGTGCCTCATTGTTCTACCCTGTCACTCCGCATCTGATTAAAAGGTAAGGAGGCTTCATTTTAATTTTATTTCACATTCATCTAAAAAATCACCAAAGAAGTAAAGTGAGGCTTTTCCAAGCAGTTGAAAATAAAAATCACTTCTGTGAATATTCTCTAGTTACCAAGTGTACTAATTAATGTAACTACCATTAACTCCATTTCAAATTTGGAAAGACGAAGAAATCTTAATTGCAATTAGAAAGAGTTAAGGAATTATTTTTAAAGTGATGTTGCGGAAAGGCCTGAACTTGACGTTCCTTTATGGGAAGCTTCTTTGCGTGATCATTTTACTTGTAAAAATCATTGGGTAGAATCTCAGAATCCCAGACCTAGCTCTGGAGGAGACCCTAGAGACCATGAGATCTCTAGTTATTGGTGGACAATGCAAGGGTTTCTGCAAAGGTCTGCGTGTCTTTTGCATTTGCCCAGCTTTCTGCCTCTGCCGGTCCTTCCTTCAGACAGCTTTCCAGGTACTTCTGCCACTCCAGGTAAATTATTCACACCCTCATCTAGTCACACATGACCCCTGAAGGAGGAGGGTTACATACGTACATATCTCTTTAATATCTTCTCCCTTTCTTTCTGGTCCTCCAGGGAGTTGACAGAGAGGTCAGAGATACTGACTGTGGCCGAAGCTGTCAGGGTGACCAGCAGTACCAGGTGTCCCTCACCCTCTTCCAGCTGCAACTCCAACTTGTGCGTCTGTTCCCTACTGAGGGCCGACAGGTCGACCTGGCACCTAGAAACAAATGTTCTGAATCAGCAAGTGGCTTTCTTCACCGCATTAAACAGTGGAAATGGCTGGCTGCTCAGAGCTATGTGAAAAATAAATCAATAGAAATACTGTTTCTACCCCTAGAAGAATACGACTATCATGTCTGCTGACTTTCTTCACAAAGTTTAGACCTTGATTGTTTTAGTGTTTATAATTGCTTATTTCCTGTAAAATACCAAGAAAATGTGCTTATCTGATTTGATTACTACCTGCTGTTACCATATTCATAAAACAGTGAGGACTTTCAATCTGTAGGTGGCCTAAGGAATGAGCTCAGTGGGGCTTTGCTTACAGAGACTGGTGTGAACTGTCAAGAGAGGCAAACCACCAAGAATCTAAATTTTTGCATCACGTTTACAACAGTAGGTGCTTTCCTCTCATTCATAAGTGTTATTAAGCAGCAAATAAGAAGGTATACTATGGTGATGTCAGAAATTTAACATTTTTAATGCCATGACAATTTATTAATAGTACACTACATCAATCTAAGTAAAAAATAAATCCCCTGAAAATATTATAGTTCAAATGTTTTGCACAGAGTTGTCCTAACAGCCATTTCATAACGTGGCAGCCCATGCTCCATCTACCACTTTCAGAGCTAAACACCTTGCAAACTCTTTTCATTAAAAATGTCAATTGATTTTGAAGAGAAAGATAATGTGGTGACCACAAGGCCAGTAAACTGAGAGAATGGTGGCAGGCACGAATAAAAGGCACTGAAAATAGCAAATAGCCAATTACTTGAATAAATGTGGTAACATATCATAAAACAGTTGCGTACCTACGAGGACAGATTAAATTCTTGCTCCTTCCTATTCCTCACCCTGTCTATTGTTTTGCTTTTCAATTAAACTCCTATGAACAGAACCTCAGAGCTCATAGTTGTGCTCAGCCACCTTTTTAGCGTGAGTGATTTTTAGAAATTGAACCCAAATCTGACATTTTCCTTTCATTTTTACCTATTAGCTAATACAGGGAACAGCCAGGACTAGAAACAAATGGGAGGAAGAGGAATATAGATGGAAAAAAAAAGAAAAGAAAAGAGGAAAAGGAAAAAAAGCACCCCGGTCAGTGGCAGAAAGTCTGTGTGTGTTAAATGCTAACAACTGAAAAAGCAAGGAATTAGAGTCTGTAACAAGTCTGGAAAAGAAGCCCTGGTGACGCAATGGTTAAGCACTTGGCTGCTAACAGAAAGGTTAGCAGTTTGAATCTATCCAACGGTTCTGCAGGAGAAAAGACCTGACAATCTGCTCCTGTAAAGATTACATGCTAGGAAACTCTATGGGACAATTCTTCTCTGCCATATTGGGTAGCTATGAGTTGGAATCGACTCCATGGCACACAATGATAACAACCAATTCCAGAAAACATCTCCCTACAGTTAGAATGTATTTCAAGTAATCACATTGTTTCTGCTAGTACAACATCCACTTCAAAATACTATTATGCTGTACCCACAAATTCTAAAGGGAGAAAAATCTATTAAATACCTTATCTAATATTCTAATTTTAACTGGAATTAACTCTTTGTCACTAAAGCCTGGAACTAATTGACGGTAAGAATACAACAGTAAAAAACAAGCAATCAAAAGTATTCTCTAGTAAAATTTTAAGGAAAAACATGAATATGGTTTTCTACATATAGATGTTTCCAGCAGCTGGCAGGGTGCCTGACTGGTGGTTTGTGGAGTGCTGAATGACTCTTTGGCTTGATTTGGGAGTACGATACTAGAGAACTGAAGACGGGTTAAAATTCAGATGGCAGTTTTAGTTGAAAAAAGTTGGGACCAAGAAGGGTCTTTCACTCACTTTGATCATGCACTTCCAGTCCCTTGCTTGCATTACTTTTTTTTTTGATGCTGCACCACTCTTTTTTTTAATTTAAATTTTATTGTGCTTCAGGTGAAAGTTTACAGCTCAAGTTAATTTCTCATTCAAAAATTTATACACAAACTGTTTTGTAACATTGGTTGCAATCCCTACAATGTGACAACATGCTCCCCATTTCCACCCTAGGTTCCCTGTGTCCATTCATCCAGTTCCTGTCCAATTTTGTCTTATATATTTGACTGAACAAAGAAGCACGTTCCTCACATGTGTTATTTGTTTTACAGGCCTGTCTAATCTTTGTCTGAAAAGCGGGCTTCAGGAATGGTTTCAGTTCTGGGTTAGCAGAGTGTCCGGGGGCCATAGTCTTTGGAATTCCTCCAGTCTCTGTTAAACCAGTAAGTCAGGTCTTTTTTCATGAATTTGAATTTTGTTCTACATTTTTCTCCCATTCTGTCTGGGACTCTCTGTTGTGATCCCTGTCAGAGCGGTCATTGGTGGTAGCTGGGCACCATCTAGTTCTTCTGGTCTCACCCTGGTAGAATCTCTGGTTCATGTGATCCTTTAGTCCTTTAGGCTAATATTTTCCTTGTATCTTTGGTTTTCTTCATTCTTCTTTGCTCTGGATAGGATGGGACCAACAGATGTATCTTAGATGGCCACTCACAAGCTTTTAGGACCCCAGATACTACTCACCAAAGTGGGATGTAGAACATTTTCTTTATGAACTATGTTATGCCAATTGATCTAGGTATCTTCTGAGACTATGGTCCCCAGCTGCACCACTCTTAAAACACTAAAGCACACTGAAACATTCTGGAAGAGTTTCTTCTATGCTTATTACCACTTTGGGCTAGTCATATAGATGCTGAACTACTCCTCATTTATGTTAGAGTTGTTGCATTTAATGCTTTGGAGCTGGGGAAGGTGCTCTAAAGATTATTGGGTGCAGGAATTGCAAGCTGGCAACTTTGAGATGGAATCTGGTCCACAGATTTGTTTGTTTTTGCTTCTAATGCTACCAAAAAAAAAAAAAAGTTTGGAATTAAATAATTTTAGACAGGGCAGATGTCCTTTGAGTTACTGTCCCTAATACTCCCTATTATTTTTACTGTCCCTAATACTCCCTATTATTTACAGATGGCCTATTTCACTTAATTACTATACCTGGTACCAATAAGCATAAGGGTTTGTGATGCCTGCAATCTCCTAATTTACCAATGAGAAAACTGAGCACCAGAGAGGTTATATGATTTAATGGGGATATACAGTTAGTTATCAGCAGAGCCAGGACCTGAACCTGGGACTTTGGAATCTAAGATCTAGGCTTTTTTCTTCACCAGTTTGTCATTAAGCAATCATGTGTCCAAGGAGAAAGTATGTGCTGTTAGCAGTGGTTCTCAAAGCTTGGTAATATTTGGACTTATTTTTAACAGAAAGAAGATCCCCATTTCCAAGTTTGGAATTATATTATTTTTATTATAATGCTTTTTAAATATATGCAAACTAGGCAAGAAGGTCTTAAGTTACAGTTCTTACAAAATGAGAAACTAAGAAAAATTTGAATTTTAAAAATTGAATTTTAAAAACTGAGGCTAATAAAATTCAAATCAACACTATAAATTTATAGGAAAGAGCATATTTTTCTGCCAAAACTATATTTTCAATATTGAATGTTCCAATAGAGTTACTCTCATGTCCTGTCCTATATTTAATGCTTCAGAATTTTGACTTCAACAATTCTAATGTAGACAATGTTTACACAAATACATTGGACAAAAGAGTACTGATGACTTCAAAGTTCTTTTTGCTAGTTGAGGTTAATCACATGTATTTATCTAAAAACTCATTTCAGGAATAATCCTCGGATGCCATTTTAAATGAAGTGTCAACCGATAACTAAGCCAAATTGTCTGGTTAACTTGAGGATAGTTAGCATTACAACATTAAAGTATCACTGACATCTGCATTAAATGGGCATCAAATTACCACTGAAATCGGGTGGAGAAAAAGTCTTTGCTACCTCCTTGTTGCTTTTGAATGATTTGGACTTAATATGTACAAACATGGTATCCTTGCAACACAGCCTGTTGCAATGTGAATATGGTACTAATTGCTGTGGGACAGATTCACCTGTATTTGACTCCTCTGTACCACTAAGCCCTGATCAGAGGCAGGATTCACTATAGCTTGAATATAGAAGAAATGGCAGTGTTAGGTGAAAACAAATGGTTTTATATTGTTACAAAAATGAAAATGCAAATTTAAAAAGTATTAAAGCATATTCATGAACTCCAAGAATATGTCCACAGCAGATGATATAGGGAAAAGAGCCCTGGACTGGGAATCAGATTCCTTGGTTCTGGCTCTCTATCTTTCACTAATTAGTTGTGTGACCTTTTTCAAGACAATTTGTCCTCTTGAATTTTAGTTTTCTCCGCTGTAATATGAGGTAATTGAACTAGATAAACTTCGAATTCTCAAAATCCCCAAATTCTAATACGTGTTATAACTCCATCCATATTTACATGTTACATCTCCCTTTCTCTGCAATTCTATAAAGCAAGAAATTAAATCAACAAGTGTAGCTTATAGGAAATAAAATATTATTCTTCAGATGTATTTTCATAATGCCAAGCAGGAGGAAAAGCCAAAACAAAACAATCTAATAGAAGCCAGAAGCATAGTAAATTGTATACTGAATTTCTCTATGCTTAGCTATTGACTCTGAATTCCTATAGGTCTACCATGTACTTAACTTTATGACTACTCTGATATCTTCTAGGCATTGGGCATGGAAATTACAAAACAACTTTCAAAGCTTCTGATAACAGCGTTTGTTATTATTGTTGTTAGCTGCCGTCGAGTCAATTCCAACCCATGGTGACTCCAAGTGTGCAGAGTAGAACTACTCCATGGGGTCTTCAAAGCGATCTTTCAGAAGCAGATCACCAGGCCTGTCTTCCAAGGTGCCTCTGGGTGTGTTCAAACCGTCAACCTTTCGGCTAGTAGTTGAGCCCTTAACTGTTAGCATGACCCAGGGACTCCTTGCTGTTGTTAGATGCCATTGGGTTGATTTTGACTCACAGCAACCCCACGTGACGGAGTAGAACTGCCCCATAGGGTTATCTAGGTTG